CAACCATCCCACTATCCACCCCCCAAAACTTGAATTTTTAAAAAATGAATTCTGGTATTTCATCACCTACAGAGCTCAATGTGAGACAGGTACACAGAGTTACAGAGAGAAGAATGAGCCTGAGGAACTAGCTCAGACCCTTCACACTCTGCCAGCCACATTCACAGAAAAACATGAAAAGGCTGACAGTTGTTAGCAATTACCAGAGAACTAAGATCATGCGGTCCTTGCCTGCTCAGGACACGAACACAGGATGTCACACCCCATGGCCAGCAGGTTCCCCATCACTGTGTCAGGGATTTCTAGCCAGTCATACCCACTGTGGCTATAATGACATTCCCCAGGGTTGTGTTTAACAAAGAGTGAGGTTCCTGGCCTTACAACCCCTGTGTGGGAGGAACAGGGGACAGACCAGTCTAGAAGCCTTTTCTTAGGAAGAAGGTGGGGGACCTCCATGAATTAGTTTTAATATGTCTGAATTTCCAGAGTAAGGGGGGTGGGGTCTGGTCATTGTACCCATGAGGAATCCAGTTCTCATCAACACCAGGGACTGTTAGGCAAAAGCTCTGATACGCACAAGGACTGTTCTTACCTCAGGGGCAGTGTTTACAGCAGAATCCACAAGAGCAAGGAGTTTATGAATGAGGTTTTGTGTTAAAAACAGCGATCTGGAGGTTACAACAGGGAGCGAGAGAGCATACTGAAAATGCGGACAGAGCACCTCTCCAATGTGGAAAAAAAATTAGTGATGTTCTGCACAGGGTTCTGGAATCAGAACCAAAACTGACCAGTCGTTCCAACAGGACATGGCTGTTCCAGGACATCGGGCTTTTATTTGACCAAGCAGAGCAAGTAGGAAATCAGAAAGATACCATCGTCAAGAAGATATCCCAGACAAGAAAACATTCCTGAGGTCAGGAAATAAAGACAGGGACATTTCAGATCACTTGTTTTATTTTCCATTGACAGACTTCATAAATAACAGACATTTATTAAATACACAGACGAGCTGTCCTTGGATGCAGTCAGAACTCTGATATACATCTCATACATTCATTCTCTGTCTACATAATGTCGAGTATCAGCTGTAAAACACATGGTAGGTATATTTAAGTACACTGCAGAGAAACACCCGAAAAGCTTACACAAGGTGGTAAGACACATTTTTCTGCATTGCCGAGCGTGTGGGGAGGAGGCAGTGAGGAGAGGTGGGGAACTCCCTGTTTGAGCTCTGCAATGGGGCTTCAAGTGACGATGTAGCCAGAACCGCATACCAGATTGTGGGGATTGTGTCTGTTGGTTGTGAGCAGACCACAGTAATTGATGTGATCATAGGTTCAGTCCTCCAACTCTTTCCTTCCCTCTCTCCCTCTCTCTCATTCAGTGATTATCTGAGTGAATGAGTCTACCATTCTCTTTTACAAAAACAAGTCCAGGCCGCACCTCTTTGTCTTCAGGGTGAGCAGTGTGTAAGGGCAAATGAAGTCCATTCCTGTCTTTGCTTCTGAGTCAGCTTTAAAAGACCAAGAATTTTAACGGGTTGCAGCAGACAAATCTCCCTACTGTCTCCATGTTCTCCACCCGCACCCCACACCCACATGGCTACCCTTTCTAAAGCCCCAAGAATCTTGAAGAGTATATCAATTGCATGCGTCTCCCCTGGCTTCTCAATAAATCTTGATTTTTCCAGAATCTAAAAACTATACAAGGAAACACACACACCAACAAATGTAAAAGAACCAAGTTTTCTTATTTCCATCTCTGGTTTGCTCTCAATCCCAAAGTGCTATTGAATGATTGAGTAATTTTTATGCTGGGAAGCCTGACAGCCAGTGACTAATTTGGGGCCCCAACCAATAACACTGTGAAAACCATTGGTAAAATAAAGGATCAAATCCATCTAAAGTTCAAGCAACAGGATACGGCCAAGGTGCCACCACTCCGGGTACTGCCTGTGAGTTTGTAGTCTCGACCTTAACATATGGGACATTTTATAATATTTTGCTATAACTCTGTCAAGAGATTTTTTATGAGATAAAGAAGCATTAAGCAGAAATATGCATATGCTTTCATTTCAGAATAGTTTAAACCTATTGTGATTAAGCATATTTGTTTAAAATATCTTGGTATATAGCATTAGGCAAATTTGATAACTCGCATTGTTTTGCTATTGTTGTTTGTTGAGATGCAGTCTCTGTGTTGCCTGGCTGGCCAGAAATCACCCCTTAAGTCAAAGTAACTTCAACTTGGGGTGATCATCTGGCCTCTACTTCTGTAGTCTGAGATTAGAGTCATGCACCACAATGCCTGGCTCGGGAGTAACAGTAACACATTTTGCTTCTCCAACTGGAAAGTATTTGAAGATATTCGCTAAGTCCATTTTATTTGAAACATTAACTCTTCATATTTGACAACGTATCATCTCTGGCATCTATGACATAACATGAAGCCTAAATTCATTTGAAAACCATAGACACTTATTAATTTTAAATGCGTCTCTACATTTCATTCACTTGTTCTTTCTGTGCGGTTTTCTGAGATGCTAATGAATACTTTCAAGTTCAGGAAAGAACTATAATCTATGCATGCATTCTTCTTCCTGTGGATACATATGCGTGACAAACCAGCTGTCTGAGAGTAAACTTCAAGGTCAGTTAATCAAACTCAGAGATCGGGATGCCACCTTCTGCCTGCAGAAACCCCCTTTCTCCACAGCACATCACTAAACTCCAACCATCCCAAGCTGAGACTGTGGAGGATTTTTACTTCCTATCCAATGGTTTCTCAGATAACAAAGCTTACAGTCTCTTCCCTTTCTGACTCCTTTTCAAGCTTGGTCAAAAACAGCCATTCATTTACTCCTGCTACGGAACCCTGGGCAGGAATGGGTTTCGAAGCCATGGGTACATTTCAGCCTGTTCTGTGTTTGCAGCTTGTTGAAAAATGATGTCCTTTTGCTAGTTATCTCTTTACCAGCTGAAGATACATCCTCTAGACAATTAATACAGATGGCACTGTACCGTACAACCACACGGCAAACTTCTCTCAGGGCAGAGCTCTGTTTACTCAACTAAATAAGAAGTCATTTGCCTTAAGGCTGGACGAGCTATAACAGATGTGTCAACTGCCCCAAGAGTGAGCAGAAGTTTTTGGCAGAATCTCATTCACTCGTCCACTGTACAAGGTTTATTGGAAAGTCCTATATTCCAGACGCTACAGTAAGTGAAAGTGAAAGGTAAGTCAGGGAAGCAGCAACAAAATTACATTTCACCACTCAAATCCAGCAGTGTGTGTCTACTTCATCACAGAAGTTCTCAAAGAACACTCCAAAGGCAAACAAGCCTCTTTTTGATACAGCTGTTTGAGGATGGGGGCCGATAATGTTGTCCTATATACTATGAAACATATCTAAGAGAGATTTTTATAACAAGGCTAGTATATATAGTCCTATATTTGTGTCTTTATTTTAACATCTGGATTATGGAGTCATCCCGGATGGTGTCAGCACCTCCACTAGACTTTATATTCTGACTCACTTTTATGTGATCATTTAGACTAATTATCCCTAACTCACCCAGGTCAGTGAGCATAATTGCCCTAACAGATACATTGTAACAGTTACAATCAACTGTCATTCAGACTGGTATTAACCACAAAGAAACTGCCATTATGTAAGAAACAGAAAGAAATCCCAAGCTTTGAAGAAGCTAGGGAGCAATAAAGTACAAATCAAAATCTTCACATTAACTGGCAAAATTATTGAACTGGCAAAATGGGTGTGTGTGACAAAGAATAAAGGCAGTATTTGGGGTGGTCCTGAAGGAGCCCAGTATTTGTGCGGTAACTTTTAACCCTTCAAATCCCACAAGAAGACATTTAAGCCAAAGCGTCAAGCCGTGTGCCCTTATAGGGGTGTGAAAAGCCAATCCAGCATTGGGTGTAACAGCATTCACCCAAAGGCAGGGCAAGGGGTGAAGAGAAGCCATCATTAATATTCCTATCTTATAAGAAAGCCAGACATGAAAACATCTCTATTTAGCTTCTATATTTCTATTGGCTCTAGAATGAGAATTGGTATTTAAAGACCAGAGAACACTGGTTGGAACAGGATGAACCCACAGTTCTCAATCCGGTCTCTAGGTAGCATTCTGAAATGCAGCGTCTTGACTCTCATAGATTAGTAATGACTCTCCCCCGGGCTTCTAAGAATGCAAAATGTATTCAAAGGAAGGAACATTCAGCAACAGTGGGTGGACAGAAACTGTTGCATTTGGAAACGTGGAACTTGTTCTTATTTAGTTAAGGAGTAAACTCCCTGACCAACCCAATCAAAAGTTAAGTTTTGTAGGGTTATGAGTTAACAATGTATGAACAGTATTTAATATTTAAATAGCATCAAAACAGCAAATATGTGGATACTGGATAGCTTATACATTTTTAAAAATACAACTAGATTCTTTAAAATTTGAGTGGAAAAACGGAGGAAGCAAAAGTCACAGAAACAATGATGAAAGAGAACACAACCAATGTTGTTGGACAAAACAAATCTCTATGGCCTGGTCCCCTACTCAAGGGTTTACACTCCAAACTCCCCACACACAGTGTGCCGGGGCAGCAACTCCAAGCTACCCCAAGTAGCTCAAGGTCATTTATCATAAGTGTTTTATTCCATAAATAACCCCATATTCAGCTACAAATGGCAGAGACTCAAACTGCTAGACTGTTATTAGCAGATTTTCCTCTGTTTGTATTTCAGGATTTTGGCACAGAAGGGATTATCTATGCTCCTCAGACCATCCAGCTTTATATCAAAAATTCCATTCCAAAGCATAAACAGCAGCATACCAGAGATGCCGCGGTCCGAGGGATACTGGCTGCAAAAGCTGTGTGCACATTGGCTATGTTCACTTTCACGGCCCTGGCTGTACGATTTCGTTAGACAGCGAGATGGGCTGCCCTTTCTGTGCATCGCTAGAGCAGCTGGACACGGCATTTGCTACCTGACAGAACTTCCGGAGAAGGATCTTTCTTAGCAGCAGATAAACCCAGGGGTCCAGGATCTGGTTCAGCGAAGCCAGGCGAACTGCAATGAGGAAGGAGTTGCACTCTTTCTCCTTTCCCAGCTGTGTCTTGCAATGCTCTACCGATGTCTGATTGAAGATCATTTTCAGCATCATTATCTAAGAAAGAATGACAAACAGTTGTTGTCGTAAAGCTCGACAAGGTCACAGGCATCTCTGCAGAGGACCCTACACAGGCCATCGAGGGTCGGTCCAGACACAGTAACAGAATCCCACTCCGAGTTCAGGCCATTCTACGGATTTTCCTACATTTTGGGCAATTTGACATGATGTAGTTTTGTAAAACATGTGGGTTCTCGGGTTCTTGGCTTCTGAAATTTAAAAAACCTGGATATAACACATCTCAAAATCAACCAAATTCATAGTAGGTTTGAAGCCAAATGAGACCTGATACTTGAGCAATAATGAATACACAATAAGTATAAATTCCAGTAATTCTAACTAACATCTATCATTGAAGAAAAATTAGAAGTGAGTAGAAAAATACAACCACATTATTGTGATTCCCATCATTGTTTTTTGTTTCTCTAATATGGACACCATGGGAAGTTATTCATACACATTTAGTGCATAAAAAGGTTGTGATCATTACCATTTCCCTTTTGCAGTTACAGAACAGAACACATGATTTAACAATGTGAAATGGCTGAGCCAAACTCAGACTTAAGCTCATTAAACTACACCCTGTGGGGTTGCAGAGATGGCTCAGAGGCTGCGAATGTTGGCTGCTCTTCCAGAAGACTTGGGTTTGATTCCCAGCACCCACTTAGCAGCTCACAGCCATTGGTAACTCCATTTCTAGAGGACCCAGCATCCTTTCTGCTCTCCTTAGACACTACACACGTGTACAATACATACATGCAGGCAAAGTACTTGTTCACATACAGTAGATTAAAAAAAAACTCCGTAATACATGTTATTTTATTTTTATTTTGGGGGAGGAGGCCCATCTACATCTTAAAACTGATGGAGGAGGGTTATCTGTCTATTGTGTTATTTTCATTGGTCAATAAAGAGACTGCCTTGGCCCCTTGATAGGACAGAAAATTAGGTAGGCGGAGAAAACAGAACAGAATGCTGGGAAGAGGGCTATGAGGCAGAAGCCATGGAGCCAGCCACCAGGTCAGACATGCTAAATCTTTCCCGGTAAGCCACCACCTCGAGGTGCTACACAGATTATTAGAAATGGGTTAATATCAAGATATGAGAGTTAGTCAGTAACTAACTCTCTAGAGATAATGGGCCAGGCAGTGCTTAAATGAATACAATTTGTGTGTTGTTATTTCTGGGACTAAGCTAGACATGCAGGAGCCAGGTGAGGCGAAAAGCAGGCCTGCCCGCAGCCCCTCACTACAGAAAACAAACTCCAGGATGGTGGGCATTTGGGGCTATCCCCTGACTAGTACAGTCCCAGTGATTAGGGTCTAGACCAATATTTAGCAGATAGCAGACAGACATCTAGTAGATGCTTATATTTGAAGGACTATATTATATAATACATATATGAATACAACACTATGGGGCATAAGCAACTATATTTATATTTGAATTAATAGGCATACATGGGTTAATATTTGTTATTTTCATATGAAGAAAAATGTAAGGGTTCTGATGTTCAAAATCATTACTCCTCAGAAAACGGAGGAGAAAGAAGCATTTCATACCCACAAGACTTAATGAGGAACTGTGGCCACCAGAAGAGTTACTGAGTGGTGGGGCAAAGAGGATCCCCCCACCCCACCCGACCCTCCCCCACCCCTGCACACAGGGGATCAGGGATGAACCCAGGAGCAAACACAAAAAGTGCAATTTGCCTTTATTTCTTCAGCCCAGGAACTCTAACTGCACCATTGGGTCGTTCTGGGCAGAAGTGATGTGTGTCCCCACCCCTGACAGAGCTGTTTACAAGCAAATGATAATGGGAGGCAGGAACAACCCAAACTCCAGTTAATTAACTCAGTTAATTAACAGAGGCAAAGACAAGGGCTGACTTCACCTGCCTAGACTATGTAGCTACTGATCATGTCTTCACAAGGTGTCTTAGTGTGGTTTCTATTGCTTTGGTGAAACACCATGAACAAAAGCTGGGGAGGAAAGGGTTGGAAAGAGTTTATTTGGCCTAGATTTCCACCTCATAGTACACCACTGAAGGAAGTCAGGACAGAAACTCAAGCAGGGCAGGAACCTGAGGGCTAAAGCTGATGTAGCATCCTCTGACACCACATTTGAGAGGTAGCACACATAAGCCAACATTCACTTATATACAACTCTCTCTCTCTCTCTCTCTCTCTCTCTCTCTCTTTCTCTCTCTCTCTCTCTCTCTCTCACGCACACGCACACACACACACAGAGCCTTGATGCTTATTCGCTTTTTCCCCTATGGCTTGCTCAGGATGCTTTTTTTAAAGAACTCAGGACCCCAGCCCAGGGATGACTCCACTAACAATGGTCTGGGCCCTCCCAAAGCCACAGGATTTTCACAACGCAGGCACCATCAGGATAATCAAGAGGAGTCCCAGTGAGGGCCCAGCATCCATAGTGTAGCAGAAGCCAGAGGCCTCGGACCAGACTCATGACTCTCTGAAATACACACTTGCGAGTAAGGATACATGGACAATGGGTTTATGTGTGATTCACTGTGTCACACTACAGTTTCCATGATGAGATTGATTCTTTCCTTCTCTCTCTTTTCTCTTAAATTTTATTTTATCTTGTGTGTGATGGGGGCTGTTGCAAGGGCAGAGGGTGGATACGAAGGGATGGGGAAATGAATGGGGTGGAGACGCAGGGTGTGAGAGACACAAAGACTAAGGAAAATGAAATAAATGTGGCTGTGCCAATCATAAGCATGTGGCTTGTGTTCTCTGCTCACAGGACGCGTCTGTGGAAGCGACCTCTCTTGGGGTTCATTGTCCTGTGGGTGTTCTGTTGGAATGTCGCAGATTTAATTAGACATTCCTTAAAAATCAAAAGACTCCTAACCGCACATTCTCTTTCACAACACTTCAGAGTCTCCCCTACACTGTTGCCTCACCCTGCACGATGCCTTTCACTCTGACCACAGTCTCACCCTCGTCCAGGCCCTCGCACACACATTTGAGTGGGAGCAGTAAGGGTCACTAAGGCTGGTCCGGCCACGCAGTGAATGTCTGTGTTTTCTGGAGCTTGTGTCTGAAGCTTCAACTCCTGCTACGGTGCAGGACCTGGGCCTTTGGAGAGGCAACTCGGTCCTTAGATGAGATCGAGAGGGTGGAGTTGTTGTGTGTCATCTGTCTGGCTTCCCGCCGCTCCCTGTCCTGTCCCGGCCAGGGCTATCCCTGTCTCCCCACGCTGTGCCGGGATGGGGGAGTGAGAGGTGCCAGGTCCTGTCCCAGCTGTGAGGATGCAGCCTGATCTGAAGACAGGCATCTGTAAGACAGAAAACTGGCTTTCATGAGGAACTAACCAGGAAGCTTCTGGACCTTGGAGTCCCCAGTCTCCAGAACCGTGGAAAAACACATCTGTCACTTAAGGTACAACATCTTAAACTGTGGGGGTGTGACCCCATATGAAAACTGGTGCAGACAGTGGAGATTCTTCAATAAGCTATTAATAATTTGCATTATGACGCAGCTGTACCAAACCTGGGCATGCACCCAAAGGTCTCAATAGCCTGCTATACAGGCACCTACAGACACCCACTTATCCATGTTCATTACTGTTCTACTCATAATAACAAAGGCATGAAAACAGCTTACATGTCCTTCAACTGATGAACAGATAGTGAAAAACGTGTTAAATATCCATGATGGAATTTTATTTAGCTCTAAAGAGAAACTGTTATTAAATTGGCAGATAAAGGGATCGAAATGGAAAACATCATACCAAGTAAGGTCACCCAGGCCCAGAAAGGCAAATGCTGCATCTTCTATCTTATATGAGGGTCCCAGCTTTGAATCTTCATATTTATGTGTTTAACACGGAGTGCTGGTAAGCACCAGTAGCTGGAAAGGGGCCATGGGGAGAGTAGGGAAAGTAAAACATGAGTGATATGAAGAGGGAAGGGAATAATGCGGAGGAACAGCAGAAGGGAAGGGGGGTGGGAAGGTGGGGCACGGGAACGGGGGCACACAAACTAAGGGTATTTGGAAAAAGCATAAATGTCCTATAATATATATTATATAGAAAAGGGTGTAGTTGGAGCTACCCACACGAGAGGCTAGGGGACGATATTCCTCCCAGAATTCACAATAATCAAACAAAGAGCCCAGCACCAGGTACAAGACACTTCCCATTGACTTGTTGCTCCAGAGGAGGTGCCTCAGAAGCCCCCCAAACAATCACCATCCCCTGGGTTATCGAGAAGAGCTTGAGGGCTTATTGATAAGGATGCCACTTGCTTTGGTCACTGCCTTGAGGAGTATCAAGCAACAATGTGGCTTCCTGGCCACACTGGCTGCAGTCCAGGGATGCCCACGTCAGATTAACCATGTCAGAGCTCTGAGACAAAGCCCTGTGGCTTTTGAGTTACCAAGTGTCTAATGATGTGTTAGAGCAGCAGAAAATTAATACCTCCACCACGCTGAGAAAAAACACGAACTGAGGAATAAAGCTTGTTTACAGTCTTCGCTTTCTCGGGAACACTTTTTAAGAGCTACAAAGGTAAAACATGACCACAGCTCCTGCCGGAGTGACCTCGGTCTCTGTGTACAACAGCCACAGATGAATGTGTGCTGCTCGAGGGTGTGTGGTATCCGGTCTACCTGATGAAAAGCTTTACAACTGCTCTTGTATACTCAGTTGTTTTTGCGACGAACATACCAACCAGTCCTCGTTCCCCTTGTTTCAAACAATTGCAAAGCTTTACCTACTTCTTAAAGAACCTTATAAAGAACAATCATCTAAAATCCAAATGTATTTGGCCACTACCTGTCTCTCAGGAATTGTTCTGGCCATGTTCTTAAAATTGCTTGCGGTTATATTTTCATTTTCTTTTATAAAATGAAGTATCGCATTTCGCAAAGCCCTTTCTGATTATTTTTAAGTTTATTCTATGGGACTAATAATTTTAAATTATATTTATAAAGTTAACCTAGGTTCCACGTACCTTAAACTGGGTTTGTGGTTAGTAATTTCCCA